GCAAGAGGCGTATTAGAGTTTCTCGAGGCGCAGCCGAGAGCAACTCTAGCTTCTTGAGTGCTCTCCAAATCAATATCTCGACATACGCACAGCTGAAGCATGTACTGATTGTTTTATGACATTATCAAAGCGATCAATGCAGAACTTAATTTTTCAATTATTGTAGCGCAAGCTCAAACGAGTATGCGCGACTCTTGGTATGCCTCAGTGTCTACGTGACTATAATTTTGTACCTCACAGTTATGTTTTTGCCTTGAAACTGAGAGAAACTTTACTCAAGTCGCTTAAAATAACTCTCAAAAAGATGGTAAAATATAAATTGAGGTGCCAGAAAACTGATCAGTAATTCACCGAAAAATTATTTTTCAAAAGAAATAACTTTGCAAACACGCCAAAGCCCGCACAGCTCTCTCAGATGACGACAACAACACTCACCTCTTTTCCCTACTATCGGTTAACAAATTCAAAAGTTTTCTTTTAAATTTACGAATAAATTACAACGCCAGGGGCCCGTTTCTCAAAAGTCCCGATAATTAACGGGCCCAGTAAGCTGTCTCCGTTTACATTAAAGATCGAAGTTTCAATAGTTTTGCATCTAACATGATAAAACTATCAGTTAATGAAACAATGAAGTAGTCTGCTAGCCAGGACCTGCGCTCTTATTCTTTATATTTCGATTTGAATATTTGATTTCGGGCCCGAAAAGTTACCGGGACTTTCGAGAAACGGGCCCCAGAACGCTCTCTCGACTTTCTCAAAGCCATAAAATGCATCTGTTAGCCGCTTTGGGGATTTTTACAGACCGAAATGACAGTTTTTCTCTGCCCTTGGTAAAATCCCTACTCTTTCATATACCTACTTGAACATGGCCTAAAAGTCACCCTTTTCGTCTGGTGGAGTCTCCTCGTCAAGGCCTTCGTAGGAACCCCCCCGGGGAGATTTACACTAAAAGAAAATCTTTCATACAGTACGTTTTACCTAATAAATAACAATTTCTTGAGTGAATTTTTCACAATTCGACGAATTTCTTGATATCGCCAGCAGTATATGACTGGGTTGAGTGAAGAATTGAGTAGAACCAAGAAACCTGAGATATGATTGGCTAGAATAAAAGACACCTTAGATCTATTACTTGTCAACAGCATTATACAGCAAAAATTGGGTAGAAAACAAGCAAGGAAAACAATATACACTAGGAAAGCGCTAGATGCTGACTTCCTCTCCCGGTTACTATTCTGTTTGTGATTGTGTGGTTGATGTTCTCTTTGAGGATGTACTGTAGTCAGAGATCTTATAACCCTGTAGATGTAGATGTAGGCTGTAGTTGCTACAAGAAGTCCGCAGATTTCAATAACTGCGACAAAAATTATTTGATGGTTGGGTAGTTGCGTGAATATGAAGGTAGCCACACCACATGCCATCCATAAGGACGCTAAGGTGAAAATAACACGTTTTGAGGTAACTAGCTCATGATATCGCAAGTGGAGAAAAATGACAAGAAGTCTGTCAACAGCTATCGCTATTATGGAGAAGAATGACACACAGGTGAGAAAATATATCACAGAATAACAGACAGTTATTAATGTCGGACATAAGAAATCGAGGTCATAGTTTCCATTCGCTGTCATTTTCAACATAATCGCTGTAATAATTCCCAACATCGACTGCCCTAGAAATCCCACAGCAAAGTCAGAGAAGGCGAGACTTAGAAACATCTTCTTTAAGTTACCGGGTAGCGTTGAAGAACTCCGGAGAGCGTGAATGACGAGGACATTTTCCACGGTTGCTAGGACTGCAAATCCTAAGTTCAAAACACAAAAGGCCAGCAAGACAGGTCTGTGTCGATGCAAAAGAACATGATATTCCTCCAACTTCTGATTGCAGAACAGCGCTACCATAGTCAGTACGATTTACTAATGAAACCTTTTGCGGTCAAAAACAGGTGGACAAAGGTAAACAAAGCAAAATGTAAGTTTTAACTCTAAAAAGGTAAATTCTGAGTGATGAGTGTCTTAGTGCGAAAGCAATTAAAAACCTGATGATAATTGGTCCGTAAGAGATTTGAAGACACGAGCTGTTTGTCTAAATTGAGAAGCTTCAACACACTAAGTGAATTAGGTTCACGTTTCGAATTTTAAAAGAGCACGTAGCTAGCTTCGGGCTGTTACCTTGGCCTCCAAAGAAGCGTACTTTTTACGTCATTTTGTCCGTGATAAGCCTTTTTCTCTTTCTTTTCAGATCAGGGGCACCCAACGAGAAGATAGTTCAAAACTACTTAAACATAGCATTGTTAAACGTATTTTAGTGTTTAAACGGTGGAGATAGGTACTGATTTTTATACGCTAAAAATTCTTCAGCTGTTCGGATTTCCTAGCTGAAAGTCTAGTGATCCGAAAGTTATAGGGATCAAAACTTATACCTTTTCGAAAATTTCAGCCAGAAAAAAGGCTCCCGAAAATTCTAGGTGACCTTTTAAGGGTACAAATCCGTTAAAAATGGGCAATTATACCATTTTTTGGGATGTTCGAAAATCCCAGGAGAGGTAGGCAAGCAAGAAATTTTACAAAAAAAATGTTCCGAAAATTCTAGATCTCAAATCGTCTTCCGAACAGATATTTTCCGAAAATTGACGTTAAATAGTTAGCTACCATCATATGCACTGATTAAACTTCGCTTCATATATCGCTCTTCATCAACGCTCCAACCCGTTCTTATAGTGTTGTCCAAAATTAGTTCTTTAAGGGAAGCAAATTGTAATTGGAAGAACGCGATTTACACTACTACGGAAAGTTGAAGCGAGATAAAATAGCGTTGACGAAACCATATTTGCTGAATTTTAAGAGAGCCGCTATCACTTACCTTTATATTCCAGACACTAAACTAAAAATTTAAACTTCTTTTATTGTCCCGAAGATTTTTTTTAGCGATCTTTTTTCAGCAATAAGATCGTAATCCCGGAGAGTGTTAAGTCAGGTGAAAAATAGAGAAGGTTTCCTATGCACGTACGCCGAGCTATGCCAGACTCGTACCCAGTCGCTATTTATGTGTTTTGGGGGTGAGAGAAGATTGGGGATTAGGTTGAGGCGCGCGCGGGGTCTAATGGAAGATATATTTTCCACTGTTATTATAGCTTCACATTCTTTCTTACAGTTTGTCGCCTTTATAGGTGTCGTAGTGCGTTTATAGTAGCTTCCGATTGGTTCGTTTTACCTATTTAAGATGCTGTTTTCAGTTTGTTCTCTCTCTCTCTCGCTCGCGACCTTAGCACTTTAGAGCTGTTTTTCTGCTTCGGACGTTTTAAATCTGGCCCCACCCACCCTCCCTTTTCTCAGGTTTCTACGGGTGTGTTTTTCATTTTATCTGCTTTTGATACTGCTCTTATTTCATCTGATTTCAGGCGGTAGAGATGCTTACGTGGACCGCGCAAGGTGCTTTAAATGTCACAAGCTCGGCCACTGGGCAAGAGAATGCACTGCCTCCTGGGATAGCCCACGAAGTGCTTATCGCGGAACCACGTTCACCCCAGGATACTCATACAGCCCCTACAGACCCAGTCACGGAGCCCACACTCAACCCGGTGCAAAGCAGTAATGTTTTTGATGAGGAGGTTGCTGATATCGCTCAGGTACATTGCGATAGCGAATTGTTTGAGTTTGAGTTAAGTACTAGTCGGCCGTGTGTCAACGTCAAGGGAAATCTTCGTAGAAACTTCGAATTTTGGAAGCATATTGGAGCCCCTATTTTTATTCTTAACGTTATAGAAAGGGGATATTTGTTACCTTTCGTTAGTTTTCCGGAGCCAGCGGTTTTCAAAAACAACAGATCGTCTCTTTCACATGCCGAGTTTGTCGAGGAGGCTATTCAAGATTTAGTTGAGTCGGGTCGTGTGGTGGAAACCAATGTACCGCCCCGGGTGGTCAACCCCTTGTCCGTATCTGTTCAAGCTAATGGAAAAAAGAGGCTAATTCTTGATTTAAGATACGTCAACAAGTTTCTTCGTAAGATGCATGTTAAATACGAAGACTGGAAAACAGCTATGTCTTACTTCTCGCGGGGTGCATATATGTTTTCCTTCGACCTTTAAAGCGGGTACCACCACGTTGAAATTTTTGAGGGCCATCAAACATATCTTGGTTTTTCCTGGAAGCATTCCTGTTCCAATCAAGTGAAGTTCTATGTGTTTACAGTTTTACCTTTCGGATTATCGTCGGCCCCTCACGTGTTCACAAAAATTCTTAAGCCTCTTGAGAAACATTGGAGGCATCAAGGCATTTGCGTTGCTGTTTTTCTTGACGACGGATGGGGTATTGAAAAGGATTCTCAAGTGTGCAGTATTGTAGCGGATGCCGTTAGAACTGACCTTTTTAAGGCGGGTTTCGTTACTAACGAGGATAAGTCAGTGTGGGTACCTTGCCAAAGGCTTGATTGGTTGGGTATCACTTGGGATAGCGCTCGTGGAACCATTGAAATTGTGGATAGGAGGGTTGCCAAAATAACTAGTACCATTGACAGTATTATCGACTCCGATTTTGTTCTTTCTGCCAGAAGGTTGGCCTCTTTTACAGGGCAGATAATTTCTACAGCGCCTGTTTCCGGGAACATTTCTAGGATCATGACTAGGCACTGCATTATGTCTACATTAAGCGCGCAGCACTGGGACGCGAAAGTTGAGATGGATTCTTATTGTATTGAGGAGCTATATTTTTGGAGAAACAACCTAAATTCCATCAAAGTGCGCGATTGTTTTCTCTTTAATAAGCCACAACGTTTCGCTTACTCCGATGCCAGCGCTACAGGGTGCGGTTTCAGTTATTACCCTTAATGAGGATTGTGTGTGTCAAAAAGCTTTGGGAGCCTTCAGAATGTTCTAAGAGCTCTACTTGGAGAAACTTGCAGCCATTGATTTTTCGCTAGAGTCTTTTGCGCCAATTTTGGAAGGTTCACTGGTCAAGTGGTTCACTGATAGCCAGGCGGCGGCTAGAATTATAGAAGTCGGAAGCATGAAATTGGATTTGCACAGGCTTGCTATTAAAATTTTTCAGTTTTGCGCGGAGCACTCTATTCGTTTGGAGGTGCAGTGGATCCCACGAACTGAGAACGAGAAGGCGGATTATATCAGTCGCCTTATAGATTTTGACGATTGGCAAATCACGCATGATCTTTTTCTAAGTTTGGAGGAGTTATGGGGCCCACATACAGTTGACTGTTTTGCCAATTATTATACAGCTAAGCTTCCTAGATTCTTTTCGCGTTTCTGGAATCCGGGTACGTCAGGAATTGACTTCTTTGCCCAAGAGTTAAGTTCCGAGAACTGTTTAGTGGTTCCTCCAGTTTCTCTTGTCGCCCGCGTTATCCATTATTTGAGCCTACAGAAAGCAATGGCTACTCTTGTAGTCCCATTATTGCCTTCGTCGAGTTTTTGGCCTCTTCTGACTAGTAAATATCGGTTGTTCATGAAAGGATGTTTTACGCTGAATGCATTCCGAGCTCTCACCCTGGGAAGAAATTTAAGTTCATTCCTTGGTTCGCCTCGTTTTACAGGCGAGGTTGTCGCGCTTAGATTTGAATTTTTGTAAGGATTATCCAACTTTTATTGCCCTTCGAGCAGGTCATTCTGAACTAGCTTTTAGTACTGGTATTTGCAAGATTTGACACTGGTCATTAATAGCATGGACAGCTGTGTCCAGAGTATATGACACTGGTCATGTGAAGGGACGACTGCGTCCGTCGGAGAAGATTTCTGTCGTTTTGGATTTCTGTTAGTAGAACGAGTTTTCGAGTTCTCTCGACAATGAGAGACCTGTTCACCTATGGAAAATTGTGTCGCTTTTTTTTTTTTTTGACACTGGTTTGCGAATCGTAACTCAACCTGCTATTCTGGCCAAGGTTTTTTCACAAGGTTGAGCTGCGTTATTCTTGTTGGTTTAGGTTACTTACCTTTCTTATCAAGGCTGTAACTTTTTGTTTTTTCCGATTGTTAGGTTATTTAAGTGTTCGAGGTGACTGTGTCCCAGATAGGGTTGTTGCCTATTTTATATTCGTTTGCCTGTCGTTTATGGGGCCTTTTTGGGGGATTTAAATGATCTGCTAGAGCAAGTCGCCTTTAGGATATATATGCAGTTTCTATGCGTTTGTTATTAGTTTTCTTTGTAGGTTTTTCGCTATGGCTTTGTTTAGGAGCTACTTTGCATGCCTATTTTGCCCCAGGGAGGTCGCTGTGGTTTCTTTCTATTATGCTGCCTGCGGACATTGCGTCATAGGCATGGGGCCTTTTATTAGAATCGCTATCATCGCTTGTGTTGCATTTCCTAAAGCCGCTATCCTGTTGTTGCAAAATTTTGGTGATATAATTTTTTCTTGCAGGTCGTAGTTGCAAGTAAGGCATGGATGGTGCTCCCTCCTGCTATTAGGCCGGACTTTCATTCTTTATTTAGTAGTTTACTTTTTTCTAGGGCGGACTCTACTGCGAAGAAGTATCTTAAGGAAATAAACAAGTTTTTACTGTGGTGTAGGGCTCGGAAAATTGCGCTACAGTTGCCATTTTCTTCTTCTGTTGTCGCCCTTTATCTATTTGGATTAGATCAACAGCTTAGGTCCCCGGCCGCAATGGTTTTGGTCCATGCTGCGCTGAAATGGTTCCATTCCTTTGTTCCTGATGATGGTCCCAATCCTTTGGATAACGCTTGTTGCAAGAACTTGATTGAGTGCGCCAAGAGGACAAGGAGCAATCCAGTTCACAAGAAAAAACCCGTGGACCCTGCTATCATTAGAAGCATTATTGGCAGACATGGCGCTGAGGAAGCATCTTTAAAGGACTTACGTATTGCCCCAATAAGTTCTTTAGGTTTTGCAGGATTTTTTCGTTTTAACGAGTTGGCTAATATTCAGCCAAAACACCTCACGTTTTGCGATGGTTTTGTTAAAATTTTTGTGCCAAGGAGTAAAACGGATGTATATAGAGAGGGCAATTATGTTTATATTGCTAAGTTAGAGAACAAATACTGCCCAGTAGCTATCTTACGTAGGTATATTGAAGCAGCCAATTTGGATCTGTCTAGTCACTTGCCTTTATTCAGGCCATTAACGAAGAACAAGTCGGGATATACCCTTAGGAATGGCAAGTTATCCTATACTCGCTGCAGGGAAATATTTAAGACTACTTTGAAAGATTTGGGCTATGACCCCAAGGAATATGGCCTACATAGTCTGCGTTCAGGGGGTGCTACAGCAGTTATCAGTAATAACGCTTCCAAAGCCGTTTCTGAGAGGTTGTTAAAACTTCATGGGCGGTGGAAAACAGACGAAGCAAAAGACATGTACGTTTTAGAGACAGAATGTAATCGTTTAAGTGTGACGAAACATTTAGGTATTTAACTCATATTTAAATATGTTATCTGTTTTTCCTTTACCAATGCTGTAAGATTACTTTTCATTAAAGTGTTAGGGTTCGCACGCGATCCACCCATATCTGATTTCGCCTGGTGTTTGCGGTTATTTAAGCGGTAAATAATTTACGTTCGTTTGAGCGAAGCGAATTAGAACGTAATGTCGTTTTTGAGGAGAGGGGAAAACCGGAGTACCCAGAGAAAAACCTCTTGGAGCAAGGGAGAGAACCAACAACAAACTCAACCCACAAATGGCGTCGACGCCGGGATTTAAACCCGAACTACACTGGTGGGAGGCAAGTGCTTTCACCATTGCGCAATCCTTGCTCCCCAAAGTCTTATTGGTTGTATCGTTCCCATATGTGCTACAGGTCCCAACTTATTTGAGAGTTGTTGCATCCGTTGGCACACCAAAGCCAGCACGGACAGCCAATCAGCTGGACAATGTTAGGAGCTATTGAGTCCGCTGCATGTAGCTTAAAAGTGACGTTATCGTGGATATGTCTGTTGCGATTTTATCGCTTTGTTTTCCGGTACTCTATATTTAGAGTAACAACGTATGTTGATCGCCGTTCGTGATTACTTCAGTTGATGTGAAATTTGGTTTCGTTTTTGTCAGATTCAACAGCGAAAAAACAACAAATAAACGTAAACACAAGAAGAGAAAACTTGAAGGGACTGAAAGCAACACTGTTTATAGCAGCCAGACAAATAGTGGTACTGAACTAACTCAGACAGGCAGTGAAGACATCAGAAAAAGAAAAAAGAAAAAGAAGGATTGAAAGGTAAAAATTATTTTGGTGAATCATTTTAGATGAAATTGTTTATGAACTTCTTGAAGAAATTAATTTGCTTGAAACCCTTTCCTGAATTGCGCACACCAAATAAATTCTAGCCTTAAGACAGCTAACATTTCGCGACGCAACCAACGGTTTCTTCGCGAAAGGTCGTTTTATTTTTTGCAGGCTTGACGAAATTCTAGCACTAGAGGGCTGACTTGTTTTTTCGACCGTAAAAAACCGAAATGGACTGGTACCAATACTCCTGTCCAGCTAAGAAATATTTTTTGGACATACCGAAAGCACAACTTTCTAATACTTCATTTACAACTTCTAGTTCTTGTTCAAAATGTTTAATTCTCCGGGAATATAATTCTTCATTTTACCTGTCGCTTGATTCGCCGGCAATTAACTCGGGCTACTAATAGTCCCAATACGGCAAATTGGCTTGCGTGGACGTGAGATGAAATATAATCGTCTCATGTAGGCTTCAAGGTATTTCAACTGTACGGCTTTTTGTCCGCACCTTATAAGGAGCGATATCTCACTACGCATGCTCTTGAAACCACAAAGTGAAGTCCACTTTATGTGTAATTCGATTTTACTAGCTCGCCTCTTTATATGTTTAAGTTTGAACGCCGTAAGCAGTCAAACTGTTAACATCGGGTGAAGTAAAATTGTTTCTTTACAAAAATTAAAGAAGAAAAACTTATGTCCAACGTTACTGTGTAGCATAAAATAAGGAAGAGCAAGATGATTTTTATTCAGTGACACAGACGGCTCGGAGGAAAAAATCCGTGTACTTTTAACAGTAGTCGAACATTTGTCACATGAACGTAAATAGTTTAGTGTTCTTAGCTCCTACGAGTTTCCTGAAGCTCAGTGGTAGAGCATCGCGGCAGTATAGTAACCATGAGTAGGTCACAGGTTCGACTCCTGTTGGGAATACAGTACTCGGATGGTTTCTTCCAAGCCGCCTGTGTCACTAACTGAAAGATTATATCTTTCTCATTTATTAACCAGGCTTACAATTCACCATGAAGTTTCTATTGAAATAAGAAAGAAAAATGGAACAGGGTAGGCATTTAACACAAGTCATATGCTTTATAACCTATATCTATATCCACTATAGGTGCCAGATTCTCTAATTTTAATATGACGTATATATTACTTAGGAATTGATGAATGAGGCTGAATAGGATATGAAGAATTAAGCAGATCGAGGAGCAGGACGAAGGCCGAGATGGATAACACCTCGTCGGTAACGGTGCCTTAACCTGTAGGCGGGCTGCATTTTTGACGTCATTTCCTCGTTAAACACAAAATTCTTCCAAATTTGGTCATCAGAAATTGGTTATGGTGAATTATGCGTGTGCTTTTAGCCAATCAGAACTGGGGAAATATTTTGAATGAATAATAATAATATGTTTATTCCTTATCCCTTAACAATATTTGCAAGCTATTTAAGAAAATGGTGACACATTAGATTATCAAATGTAAATTTGTCTTGAAACAATTAACACTTGCTCTTGTTATCATATATTGTTAAATATTAATCTATCTCTTCAGTGGTGGAAGGAAGCAAGAATCGCAGATGCTTCGTGTGATTTAAAAATTTTCCTTAATGAAATGACGGCATAATCATAATTTGTCTTTTAACACAACCACTTTCTCACGTTACTATAATATATAATAATTATATTAAATCCGGTTAATCTTTCTCTTCCATGGTGGTAAGAAAAACATGAAAAGCAGATGGCCCATATGAATAATTTCAAAATTGCCCTCAAACAAAAAAGAGAAACCGAAAAAAACAAAAAACAAAACAGAATACTAATCAATAAAATTCTAGATAGATTAGCTAACTTATGGACAAATATACTACATCAAGAGCTTGGACTGTTCACCATACCATTTTTATGTTGGTATTGACCCTCGCTAAAGTTAAGTCAAAGCCTGGAAGATAATTATTTTTTTCAACACGCTTTTCACACTTTTCTTAATTTCTTGATATCGCCAACAATAAATGAAGGGGTTTAACATAGAATTCAGGAAAACTAACAAAAGTGCAGCCATATCAGCCATCATGGTCGCCGTTGTTGGTCCACTAGCTGTTATCAATATCATCAAGCATAAGTAAGGAAAATAACATGCAAGAAAAACAACATACACAATAAGGGCGTTAAACACCGACTTTCTTTCACGGAGCAACTCGGTTGCTTGAGTATTTGAAAACCGGTGCTGACAGTGTATCTGATTCTGATGTTGTTTAACAACTCTGTAAATATGAATATATACGACAGTTGTCAAAATAAGTCCGACAATTTGAACTATCGCAACTACCAGCTCCTTGTTGTTATGAAGAGAAACGTATACCGACGAAGTTACGCCACTTGTTAGCCATACAGAAACCAAAGCAATAACCACGCAGTTTGAGGTGACAAGCTCGCGGTATCGGAGATGAAGAGAGATGGCAAGAAGTCTGTCCACAGCGATAGCGATTATAGTGAGGAATGAAGCACTAGCCAAAAAGACAGTGACGAAATAACAAATTGTTAGAACTGTCGGACAGAGAAAGTCATAGTTTTTGTTTCTGTTCACCTCTATTCGTATGACTCCGGTGATGACTCCGTGCATTAGCTGTGAAATTACTCCCACCAAAAGATCCGAGAAAGCGAGACTGAGCAACATCTTCTTTACATTAGCTGGAATCGATGAGGCGTTCCAAATGGCACAAATTACGAGGATATTTCCGAGAGACGTCACCAAAGCGAAAATCAGGTTTAACACGCAGTACGTCAAAATATGAGCTGCGTGATGGTTTGCAACTTGTGCCAGCTTCGCCAACTCCTGATTACAAAACTGAGTAGGCATAGCGAAGAAAAGAATTTCAAATTTAACGTCTAGTGTATGACTTTCCAGAATGGTGACGAAGATTTCTGATGCGAGAATTAAGGCTTTAATCGCACCATACCGAATACTCCGAATAGCTTTTGCGCCTGCAGAGAAACCATACCAGATAGGGGTTCCGTCAAACACGGTAATTTCGGCGCGAGTGGTGTAACGGAGCAAAGCTGCGCCGTGCCGATCTCTCAAGTGTCACATATCGGATAGGTGTTCATACTGCTGATACTACACCGGATAAGTTTTCATGTCGGCACGAAAAGCTGTCCACGGTTTAGTTAGTATTCCGTCAATCTTTGTGCTCCAAAAATGCATTTAGTTCCTCGTTACCATTTCTAATAATACTTCAACTTCAGTGTGTTCCCTGGAACAGCCAAAAAATGTTTGTGTAAAGCAGTTGCCGTCCACCCCAACCCTTAAACCGGAAGTACGTCAAAAGGCTGGTTGCATAAGCTCCTACTTTCCAGGTTTAGTTAATTGCAAAGTGCAATGCACAGTTATTACTTATTCATTGAAAAGTGCGACACGGTTTATTCCAAATTGAGACAAAGTGCAATTTAGTTAATGCAAATTGCGACAGGAATTACAAAGTGCAATAATTATTACAAATTGTCACAGTCCCCGGGAATTCCTAAACCCTGATCCTATTTAAGGATGAGACAAATAAAAATTAGTCCCCAATTAAAGGCCCAAACCCGAAAATGACACCCCATTCGAGAAAAAACATGCAACAACAACAACTGCAGAGAATTCACCCCGGGTCAGCTGTCATCAAAAAGTGGTCTCTTTCAAACTAGTTTTTTAATTTTTAACCGTTTGAGCTGAGACTTTGCACGATAATAGAACTTTGCATTCCCAACGATCGTATGTTTTTGGATTTTTTATTTTAACGGTTTTTGGCGCGAAAATGACGTCATAAGATTGACAGCAAAAAATAGTTTTCGACTTATGGCGTAAAAAACTGGAACTTTTAAAAGAACTTACAGAGATGAGCTCAAATGTGAAAAAAGTATTTGTAAAGCTTAATTGGTTGAAAAGTTATTGAGCTGTGAATTTCGTATTTTCCGCCATTTTGTTACTATTTTTAGAAATTTGGTGATCTTTAGAATGTCATATCTTCTTAACCAAATGAGGTTTTCAAAAACTTTTTTCACATTCAAGTTCTTCTCTGAGTACTCTTTCAAACTTGCTAACCTGTTATGGCATAAGTTAAAACTTATATTTTGCTGCCAATCTTATGACGTCATTTTCGCGCCAAAAACCGTTAAAATCAAAAATCCAAAAACATACGATTGTTGGGAAAACAAAGTTCTATTATCGTGCAAAGTCTCAGCTCAAACCGTTAAAAATTGAAAAACTAGTTTGAAAGAGATCACTTTTTGATGACAGCTGACCCGGCGTGATTTAATGTCTTTAACTAATTTTACTCCCAATACTCTAAAGGATCAGTTCAGTTGTAACAAATTTTTTGTTTCGTGTAGCATATCGATCGGCATTCACGCATTTACATTTTAGCTAACACAATTTACGTTCCCTAGGATCAAACTGCGAACACTGAATGTCTATTTAAGGATCGCGGAGACCCTCGGAAATCATGCCCTACCGGGCGACATTAAGTGCAAGTTACTATTTTCTTCAATGTACTTTTCACCCTTTTCTTAATTTCGTGATATCGCCAGCAGTAAATGACGGGATTCAGCGAAGAGTTTAGAAAAACCAAGAACAGTGAAATCATCTGAGCTATTGTAAACGACGATGGCGAATTTCCATGTGCTACCAACATTATCATTGAACATAAATACGGAAGATAACATGTAACGAATACAATGTACACGACAAGAGCATTACATGCTGACTTTCTTTCTCGGACGAGCTGTCTTGCTTTAGGAGCCGAGTTTGAAAGCTGAAGCTCACTGTGTATCTGATTTTGATGATATTTCACAACTCCGTAAATGCGAATATAGACCGCAGTTGTCAAAAGGAAGTCCAACAATTTCAATGATCGCAATTACCAGCTCACTGGTATAAATGAGAGAAACGTATATGCAGGCAGCTACACCACTCATTAGCCATACGGAAACTAACGTCATAAAAACACGGCTCGAGGTGACAAGTTCTCGGTATCGTAGATGAAGTGTGATGGCGAGAAATCTGTCAATACCGATAGCGATTACATTGAAGAATGATGCCCCGGCCAGAAAAAAATTCACGAAATAACAAAATGTTAGTATGGTTGGACAGAGGAAGGAGTTGCTGTAGTTTTTATACGCTGCAATTATCAACGCTGTAACCATCACTCCAGACATAAGCTGCGCTATTAATCCTACGGCAAGATCAGAGAAAGCGAGACTCAGAAAGAACTTCTTTATATTAGCGGGAATCGATGAGGCATTCCACAGAGCATGGATGACGAGGATATTTTCAACGGACGTCACCAAAGGGAAAATCAAGTTCAGCACGCAATACGTCAACATAAAAGATCCGTGATTGTTAGCGATTTGTGCTAGCTTCTCCAGCTCCTGATTGCAAAAGTGGGCAGCCATCATTGCGTTCAGATGAACAAGAACGCTGTTTGGATCTGAAATGCACAGTAGACCATGGTTATGTATAGTTCTTGTTGTTTTCAGCTTTGAACAATTTAATGGTGTGCTGTTGAGACGTTAAACATTTAAGCTACACCCAAATCCCAGTATCAAAATCAGCGAATCGTTCATCTTGCATGCCTTTCACACTCCGATTCTTCAGTAATAAAAGTAATGAATAACTAAACATGAATACATTAAGCAATCAATTTATATATGTGAATAAATGAAAACATTTGTTAAGGATAAATAAAGGAGTTATTCTCACTGGGGTATTTACAGTTGTTGTATAGACGTATAAATCGGTCCGTTTATCATGAGTAAACTTTCGGTTGGTTTTTTTGCGCTTTCCTTTCTAACTGTGTTGAGTTTTTCCATAAGTCCAAATTCAATAAGAAATAGAGCATTACAACAACAAAAAAGGCCCACCTCTTCACAAGTTATTTCGATACGGTGTTCGGAGAGAGGATCTTTTCTGAAGTCTGTCACTTTGAACTTCATTACCATTTTCTTGATTTGAATTGAAATTTAAATAACAGTGCTCCTTTTCATATAGTTAAAATCAAAGTAGCCATGACAGCTATGAAAAAGAGTTTCCAGTTTTCAGGACTGGAAATTACAAAATTGTCAAACGCTGCACGCTGCTATAATTTGCGTCACGGTTTGCATATCAAGACGAATCCATTAAGAAATTGTCAATGAGTAATTTTAATTTTTAGTGGACAAAAACCTTGTGTACCAGAATAATTTAAATCATATTGCATTCTTTTTTTAAACTTTTCGAGGGTTATATAATGTAATACGTTATATGAAATAACTCCAAAGAAAATGTTCTTATTGGAGCCCCAGTAAACAAACTTCAAAAGCTTCAATAAAACAAAATAAAATCTAACGCATGACGATTTTACTTGTGTTTTCTCAATTCCTGTAAAATTTTAATTTTTTTTCTCGGGCTTCCATAACAACCTTTCTTTAAAGTTATTTCATATAACTTATAACGTTTATAGCCCTTAAGTGTAAAAAAGAATGCAATATGGCTTAAAATATTCTGGTCAAAAGGTTTTTGTCCATCTTAATAACATTTCTTAAGATGATTTTCCACCATAATAGGAGTCTAATAGACGAAACTTGGTTTAAAAAACACTTCCTATCAACCTGAAAAAATAGATATTATTCATTGTTCCGTGACTAGCTGCATCTGTTTGTCGAAAGAGGTTTGGATCAAAGCCGTGCAAAATACCAGATTCTTATTGGCTGCTCTTATAGGTGTCGATTAATTCCCTACACGAGGCAACGATTACCGCTTTACGGACGTCCTTCTTGTGAGTGACTAAGAGCAAAGACTAATTGCATTTCCTATGAAACTCCGCTTATTTCAACTTATTCATGTTATTTAAACATCAAATTTGCTTAGCGTTAATATTAAATGTTTATCGTTCAAATGTATTTTTCTTTTAACATCGCTGTTGCCAGCGATCAGTAGAGGTATTCAACGAAGATTTCAAATAAACTTCGATTTTTGCGAACCTTTAAGCTTCCTGGTGCGTCGCTTGGGAAAACATTTATTATGTTTCCATATCATTGTCGAGGACCTGGAAGATAAAAGGCGGTGCAAAAAAAAAAAGAAGAAAAAAACGCGAATCTCATTTCACGGAAGAGCTGTGTCTGCAATGGTGTTTTAAAAAAAGGTATCTGACAACTTTGTCGGTCAGATCGATAGCAAGTCGATATAGATCTTCAAATCTATATTTTTCATTGCATATCAAACAATGCAATAGTCTTGGAAATACGTGCCTTCCGCGAGGGGCATACATATTATTCGAGGCAGAAGCAGAATGACTCCGATCCTAAATTAATCTAAACTACACTAAGGCCTGTTTCAAACGTCGTGCTACTGCCGTGCTAAGCTGGCTCGACTGAAGCTCGACTGCAGCACGACACTAGCACGACTTGGTTTCAGACGTCGAATTTAATTCAGTCGAATAAAACGGCTGTTGCCGAAAGCAAAACACAAAAATAAAGAAACAGTTTAGCAAACTTTTAAATGTTTTCTATGTACTGATAATTTATGAATTGAGTTCAGCACGGCGGTAGCACGACGTTTGAAACCAAGTAGAGCTACTGCCGTGTTAAAGTCGAATTTAATTCGATCACACGGCAGTAGCACGACGTTTGAAACGGGCCTAAATCAGATTACGTAAAAACTCACTTGAAATAGCACCACCGCCATGAGTACATGACACGATTAAGGTCTCGAACACGAACCCCTTTTGATGAATAAAGTCATAACGCAAAGTTTCTCTTGCGCCTCATCTTGTCATGCTTTTATCTCGGTTGTTTTTGAGGCTTCTGAGTGGAGATTGAGCTCAAATTTTAAAGTGGAAATTGACGAGTCGTTTAGTTCGAAGGATGCTTTTCAAGTTATGGCAATGTTATGAACCCCATTACGGTAACAATTTGAGAGATGAAAATTTTGCGGCCAAGTTTACAGATCGAATAGAAGACAGCAATCTGCTCGATTTTAACAGCAAATGATATAATCACTCAAAATCTGTGTAATAATAGAAGCGGATTTTTCGCTTTAAAGTTTGCCGTCAAGTTATAATGATCGTTTAATGAGTAAAGTTTGTCTTCCCTGAATGAATTAAAGCCTTCTATGTTTTTCTAAAAGGGCTGTTTTAGAATTCCGCTTCTGTCATAACATCCGACATTACCTAGTTTATCACCCGGCAGTGTTAGCTCACGAAGTTCTGGATCTCCTTGAATCTTAAACAAGAAGTCGTCTGGTGATGATGGTAGCGAATTCTAGTCGCTTTGGATTTTGAAATTAAAAAATGACAGTGCGTTTAAATGGTAAACAAGTAAAATTCTCGACGCCTGATTATCTGATGTGTGTGAACTCCTGAGATTCCGAATGCCCTAAAATGATAAACCCGGAAACACTTATGAATACGGAAAAATCTCCTGTAGTTTAAACCCAGCCTGAGTCCATTTCATAAATATCCAATAGTGATAGTGAAATTGAAATCCAGGAAGCGTGGGTGTCCACGATCAGACAATATAGCAGTCGGTACCACAGTGGACTCGTTAGAGGACAGTTTAGCACGAAAAAATAAAGATTGATGTCCACCGATTTCGAGTAATGCATGAAATGCACTAATTACTATCAACCCACGGAGCTACGTAATAAGATACCTGCCACCACTGGGCGCCTAATGAAAGGAACCATCACATCCAGTTTGCCACCATTGAAATGAGAAGGGGACTGGGCCGAGTAAACATTCGCAAAGACTTCTGGGACTGTTTGTCCAGCGCGTCCCCATTAACTATCCCAGAAACAATTGCGGGACACGCTTCGGTCCCAGTTCCCTTCTGCTAGCGATATACCGGGAAAAGACCCTATCCCAGCCACAATAAATAATAGGGCCATTTATACGAGGAAAAATAAGACGCGTCTTACATAAGACGCGTCTTAAATAAGACGCGAACTTTCCGTATAAACGGCACATTTCGTCTAAAATAAGACGCGCCTTAGCTAAGACGCGTCTTATTAGATAAGACATGCTCGTATAAATGGTACAGTTCGCGTCTTATGTAAGACTGCGCGTCTTATTTTTCCTCGTATAAATGGCCCTAATGTCTTTCATTATTTCCTAAAAAAAACCTTGATAAACTCAAGAAAGTTACGAGCCAGAAAACAGAATGGAATGGCTCATTGTCATAATTGTTCGACTCTGGACGACAAGAAAATGTTTCAAAGCAATTGTGCATGTTTTGGCATAACGCCAACCTTTATTTCCGTTCATACAACTCGGACAAAAAAAATAGGACTTTTCATTTAAGTCACAAGTGCTGAAAAAAACATCGGTTAATTATTGCAGGATCTACTGAGACATAAAGCGTTATAGGCGAGGTCAGCGGTCAGCGATAATGATGGCCGCGTCTTTTGAAGCTAGCCTGAACTTTATCCGATTACGGGGGGAACGTGTTTCAAAACAAGCTACATAGCAGAGCTGATTTTTTTAATTTGATCGCTTTTTTAAAGCTTCAAAACGTCCCAAAAAGTCGAATTTACCTCAATACGTACTAGAGGGGGGCTTATATTCAGGGGGTGGGGGTTATTAGTTTGGGGGGGGGGCTTGTAATCGGAAGTCTACGGTGTTTCCGTCTTACAATACTTGAAAATCAAAAGTTACGTGGATCGGAACAGGTTGTGGCCTCATTATAGTCGAATGTAAAAGATCGTTTTTGTTTTTTTCCTCCGTATCATCAGCTGCGTCAAATTTAAACAAACATTTTTTCCCGTAGCTTTTCATCTACTTATAACGATCTTAGAACGTTGTTTGGAAATAACTTTTGTTTTGTTCCTTTCGTTTTGTTATGAAATAGTCACATGCGTTCTGTAGCACAGGTAGCTATATGCCTCTTATTTCCTGACTCCCACAATTTGTGACGAATGTTGCCGGTGTTTACTCAACGTCTCCAAGAGATAGCATTTGTTTGTTGAGTTCACTGAATAGACAAAGTTAGACAAAAGAGACAATTACGGAGGGGGCGGGTGGGTACTCAACAAGGTTTTATACGGGGACTGCTTCACCCCGAGGTCCAACCTCTTACCCTTTTATATACCATTTTTGACAAAAAACGTAGCCCTTTCGTTTACATTCTATTAACAAATGTTACTGCTAGAAATGTACTCTCTTTAAGAAATGAATAAATTACACAACCAGAACGCTTTCTTGACTTTTTCAAAGCCAAAAAATGCATCTGTTAACCGCTTTGGTCATTTTTACAGACCGAAATGACAGTTTTTCTCTACCCTTGGTAAAATCCCTGCCCTTTCAGAGCCAGGCACCCTTTTCGACTGGCGGAGTCTCCCCGTAAAGGCCTCTGTAAGGGGAGTGTACCCCCGGGGTGATTTAGACTAAAAGAAAATCTTTCATATGGTACGTTTACCTAATAAATATCAATTTCTTGACTGAATTTTTCACTATTTGACGAATTTCTCGATATCGCCAGCAGTATATTAGTGGGTTAAGTGAAGAATTTAGTAGAACCAAAAAGCCTGAGATATGATTGGCTAGTATAAAAGACACCTTAGATCTATTGCTTGTCAACAGCATTATACAGCAAAAATTTGGTAGAAAACAAGCAAGGAAAACAATATACACTAGGAAAGCGCTAGATGCGGACTTCCTCTCCCGGTTACTATTCTGTTCGTGATCGTGTGGTTGATGTTCTCTTTGAGGATGTACTGTAGCAGTCAGAGATCTTATAACCCTGTAGATGTAAATGTAGGCTGTAGTTGCTACGAGAAGTCCGAAGATTTCAATAACTGCGACAAAAATTATTTGATGGTTGGGTAGTTGCGTGAATATGAAGGTAGCCACACCACATGCCATCCACAAGGACGCTAAGGTGAAAATAACACGTTTTGAGGTAACTAGTTCATGATATCGCAAGTGGAGAAAAATGACAAGAAGTCTGTCAACAGTTATCGCTATTATAGAGAAGAATGACACACATGTGAGAAAATATATCACAGAATAACAGACAGTTATCAAAGTTGGGCATAAGAAATCGAGGTCATAGTTTCCATTCGCTGTCATTTTCAACATAATCGCTGTAATAATTCCCAACATCGACTGCCCTAGCAATCCCACAGCAAAGTCAGAGAAGGCGAGACTTAGAAACATCTTCTTTAAGTTACCGGGTAACGTTGAAGAACTCCTGAGAGCGTGAATGACGAGGACATTTTCCACAGTTGCTAGGACTGCAAATCCTAAGTTCAAAACACAAAAGGCCATCAAGACAGGTCTGTGTCGATGCAAAAGAACATGATATTCCTCCAACTTCTGATTGCAGAACAGTGCTCCCATAGTCAGTATGATTTACTAATGGCACCTTATTTTTGTGATCAAAAACAGGTGGACAAAAGCAAACAAAGCAAAATGTGTAAGTTGAAGGCAATTCTGAGTGATGAGTTTTTTAGTACCAAGTAATTAAAAACCAGCTCATAATTGGTCCGTAAGCTTTTTGAAGACATGAGCTGTTTGTCTAAATTGAGAAGCTTCAACACACTGAGTGAATTAGGTTCACGTTTCGAATTTTATTAAAAAACGTAGCTTCGGGCTGTAATCCAAAGATGTGCACTTTTTACGTCATTTTATATTGTCGTGATAAGGCTTTTTCTCTTTCTATTCAGATGGATATTTCATATCATATTATTAATAACGTGTGCTTGTTGCATGATGATAGTTATAAGCAACCATCAGCAGTGAAATATATACTGATTAAACTTCGCTTCATATTCTCGCTCTTCATTATAGTGTTGTCCAAAATCAGTTCTTTAAGGGGAGTCACTCTTCAAATTATGCTTCGAAGAACGCGATTTACACTACTACGGAAAATTAAAGCGAGATAAAATAGCGTTGACGAAAACAATATTTGCTAAATTTTAAGACAGCCACTGTCATTTACCTTTATAGTCCAGAGACTAATCTAGAATTTAAACTTCTATTATTGTCCGAAGATTTCTTTAGCGATCTTTTTTCAGCGATAAGATCGTAATTCCGGAGAGTGTTCTTTAATAAGTAGTAAAAAATAGAGAGGGCGTCCAACGCACGTATGCCGAAGAATGCCTGATAAAACCTATGCAAATTTGGGTAACTTCAAAATACTCTCAAAAACAACGAAATACTGTCCTCTACCCACTCAATATCTTAGATATTCATTGAAGGAGTTGCGTTAATCAGCTTATAAATTTCTTTCCGATCCAACTTTTCGTTAATTTTGTTAATTAACCATACAAACAAGTCATTCTTCACTACGATCGAGACCAGTTCTTAAAAAGGTACCGTTTTACTGAGTCATTCTTGCTGCTCGAAATATCGTAATATTAAGTTTTGCCCTTGAAAAGTGAGGGTACCTAAGAAGAAAATGTATTGATTGCAGGCCGGTAACTCGTTTGCATGCTATGTGTAAACAAAAAGATTGAAAGATAACCGACCTACCTTTTGCATGGCTTTTAGCGTTTACGAAGTCGTTCGCGTGGCTTGTCAGTCGCGTAGTCACGCGCACGACTTCGTTAACGCTAAAAGCATATAACCCACCTTACAGGGTCAATACCACCAACTGACTTTTTTAATTCATTTATTTTTTGACATTTTTGGAAGTCTTCGAAACCAATTCCTTTTGCCGTTAGTCTTACTTTTATGACCATGCAGTCAGTCGAAATAAAGCTAAACGGAAAATTAACTAACAAATCGACCTCATGTTGCTGCTACTAGCTACTCTGTTATTGCCAATGAGGTCAATTTTTATACACACAGGTTACGTTTTCACTGAGACATTTTCAGCGGCTATCATGGCATGTGGAACGGTGTCTTAGGGGGCTACACTGATCCCGGTCATAATTTGTTGAAACACTTCCGGAAAAGAAAGCATAAGCCAGGAGCTTATTAGGGTTAGGGTCAGGGTAAGGGTAATAGGCTCTTGCATAAACTTGGTCCCCAGTCGTCTCTAAGTTGTCTCTAGTCATTAATTACTTACTAGGGAAGCGCTTGGGTTATGCGCAATGGGGAAGATGGGAAGGCGAGAGGGACGTCTCTCCCTTCTCCCTTTTTTCCTTCCCGTCATCCCCTTCATTAAAGAGCCCGTTCTAGTCGTCCTCGCCAAATACTAATAATTCGTTCCCAGTTGTCGGAAGCAAGCATAGCTCGTAAGCATAAGGCGATTACAACTAAATTCGTCCATCCGTCACTGCTTTAAGCCAAATATGTAGGATAATTAGAACAGTGTTAAAAAAATCCCCCTCGTCAGTTCCATAGGTATTACGAAGAACAAAGTGCAAGAAGCTTTAATTTCCTAAGAGGAAATGTGAGTGTTTCTGTCAGATCATACTTTTTCTGTGAGCATCTCAGCAAGACTATTCTTCCTTGGCAGAGCCGTTTTCATTTAAGACAAGTGTTATTTCACTTTTAAGGAATTCTGTTTAAGGAAATCCGATGCCTTTCAGGAGGCCTTTTTAACTGATAGCAAATTCACGCGAGGGTACATGTACGTAGTACACTCTTTTTTATAAGATTCATCTTGAAGCTTAACTGGCTGAATTTAAGTCAATATGAGTTAAGCAAGGCTTTGAAGGCAAAAAGCTCCGCGGGACGGATTTCACTGCGTTTCAACAGAATTTGTGCCAGACTATGGCCTACACGGCGAATTTGAAGCAAAGATTCTTACTGTTTTATTACCTCTATTTTCGCGTTTATTTCGCTTGTTATCCTCCAGAATCCTCTAAAATAATTTGCTTGACTTGTATTTGGTCGAAATTCGTCGATAAAAGCTTTCATTCTTCGCAAAAGCCGCGACAAAATTCTTCCCGACGGAAGCGCCATTTTCACTAGATTTGAAAAAATCGTTGCGTGAAGCTCAAAACTCCCCAGGGCCTGGAACTTGGCACATAATTGGCTAAATCTATTGACTTCCTGTGGGCCAAATTTGGAGGCAATCGGAAGTAACACAATTTTTTGCGAGTGTTGGTCGCGTCATCGACCAAAAGTGGTCGAAATCTTTGACCTGGGAAGACAATGATTAATAGACCCAAGGGGCTCAGATCCTGTGAAAAACATTTCATTCGGTTTTTTTAGACTCCTCGTTCTCGTTTTCTGCGCAAAAAAAAAATAGAAAAACAGCTCATTCAGTTTATTTTTTTAGACTCCTCCGCGTTTCCTGCGCCACTCAGTGCTGAAGGGCTAAATTGAGCATTTTATATTAAATTTTCTTTTTCAAAATTAAATTAGACGTCTAATATTTTGACGTACGATAGTTGGTGAATACAGCTGTGTTTTCCAATTTGTTTACCATGCATATCCATTTAACCTACCCAGTTCTAAACTGATCACAACAGAATGGAAAATCTCTTGTGTGCTGAAAGACAACCGCTCAAGGACAGCTGAGGATGCACTATACTTAACCCTTCCAGAATATTCAACCACACCATCTGCTTCATATATGATTGAGCGCATTTAGTTGTTGTAATTCCTTTGTGTATAAATTCGTCACGCAGAGCTGGAAGTGTCAAGGCATTATACGAGCGAATATAAACAAAACATTCGTACATTATTGCCATTTTCTTTACAATTGGCTCTACGTAAACATTTTTAATTCAATTTTAATCTTTATTTCTGCTTCGCTGATGTTGTTGTCAGACTTGTCGCTTGCTTGCAAAAACATAACGACGCATAAAAGGAAGGCGAATTTTCTTTTTATTACAAATGCAGTTTTTTAACGCAATTTTTTCATGTTGCAAATAGCATTTTCGTTCTTAAGTAAATAAGGCTCAAAATTAAAAGACGTGTACGGGGGGAATAATTAGAAGTACCTTCTCTTCGGCATGTTATCAGCAATTTAATTTTTGAATTTCTCCTGTTTCTCTGGCGCTGCGCATACCTGATAAAACCTTCTGACTCAAAATATGAAAATCCAGATATGCAACAAAAGACTAGAAGAACTTATAAAATTAGCCGAATTTCACGGAGCATTCATGGTTTCACTATGTGCTCTCAATTTCTTATTTTGTATCGTGGCGATTTTTGGAAATGTACTTGTTATTACTGCTTTGTGGAAAGCTTCCTCGGTACCTGAGAGTTTAAAAAGATTGTTTTTAAGTCTTGCTGTATCGGATCTTGCCGTGGGACTGTCTGTTCAACCAATGCATGGCGCGATCATTGCTGTGATACTAAACAACGTGGAAAGCCGAAGCTACAACTTTCAGGCTTCCCTTTGTCCGACGATAGTCACCATCTATTTATCATTCGCCTATTTATTCTCAGTAGCATCGTTTTTATCCATTGTTTTTGCTACTGTGGACCGTCTTCTCGCGTTATCCTTTCATCTGAGATATCATGAATTTGTAACATGCAAACGCGTCGAGGCTGTCATTGGAATTATGTGGTTAACAAGTTTCCTAGTCACACTGGTCTATATTGCGCTTCCGAATTACAACGATATAGTGGCCGTTGTGCTTGAACTGCTGGGGATTTCGGTAACGACTGCAGCTTATTTTAAGATCTACAGAATAGCACGATATCATCAAAATAAAATACATTGCCAAAGACAAGTTGCGATTGATGTGGAGACGCTAAACACTGCTCGAGTTAAGCGATCAGCGTATAACGCATTTTTCGTGTATGCAGTATTTCTTGTTTGCTATTTACCAAATGTGTTTTGCGGGATTTTATTGAATGTTTTTACGTCTAGTATAGCATTTATTATCGCTTTTTACATCACGATATTTTTAATCTATCTCAATTCTTCCGTAAACATTCTCGTTTATTGCTGGAGATTTCGAGAAATCCGTCTTATTGTGAAAACAACTTTCTGCAAGATGATTTGTCAGTTAAGTGAACAGGAATCGCCTAGAACAACTGCCGAGATCAGCACAGTCCAGTTGGTGAGGGAAATACCCACGAAAACATAAGCGAATGTGAAAATATAAATTGAATTATGAATTCGACAGGCCAGAACTGAGCTCTTACTTCTCCGCAAACTTTATAAATTAAAAACTGACACCCACAAAAGGGGCGCAATAGATTGGTTGCTTGCTGTTTGTGACGAATAATACCCTCTACCTATCATATATATATATTGCTTTTACTGTCAAGACTTTATAGTCAACATAGCTGTATTCAACCTTGTGGATTCGTATTTAGTACAAGCGAAGGATTTTCCTAATTTTTTGCAAAACTTTTACAAAAGTTTCTGTAACTGTAAAACTGAGGGGTCATCCCTCACAGTTTCACCTTTTTTTTCTGCTTCTTTTTGTTTTGCCCTATGAGCGCCAAAAATTGTTATTCCACCCTATATAAATTGTTTAAGTACGTTACAGTAGGTAGAAAAAGCAAACTTTTAAACCAAGAGACCAAGAGAGGGCATCCCCCATATACACCCTATTCCATAGGTAATTCGTCTCGAGTTATTTTGAACACTACAGATCTCAAGGGGGATTAGACAACAGCCAATCACATAGCGCGAATGTGTTCCGCGTGGATGACCCACGCTGAGAGCCACGCGTCCTTCACGAAATGACGCAGAACAAAATAGGGGAAGACGCGGAGAGCGATTTTGCTATTCCTTTTGTCGACGAAAACGACTACAGCGATATTTCTGCGAAAACTGTGTCAGCGAAACCGAAATTAAAAATGAATCGCCCTTCCTCTCTTGTATAGAGCTAACAGTAGAGCAGGGAAATCCTTATACACACTGAATATTCTCTCAGGGTCATTTATAATTTACAGTTTGAAGAGAGCAATTTCTGGTTTGGTGTTTATTTTTTTCAGTCTTTATAGCGATTATTCCTACCCACTTACTTTGTCAATTGTAGGCGAACCCTCCTAAAGCTGAATTTCAAGGGACCATATTCAAGCTCAGAAAGAGAAATAAAATTTCGTAGTTGCTTATTTACGTCCTCCATAAAACGCGAAATTAGGCATTTTCACGTCGTAGTCGTGCGAAAACGGGAAAGAAATGAACAAAAAGGTGTGTTGCAATAGACCGGCGAAATTTCTCATTTTATTAAAACACTGAGGTTACGACAACTTCGAGTTAAACTGATTTCACGGGTTGTCAAAGAGTCCAGCGATTCCTTTTTCCCAGGTGAGCGCCAACTCATTTCGCTTCAATATTCAGGAATGCTCTGGATCTTTTTACGCTTTCATTGCCTCTCGCCCGACATGTTTTGCACGGCGTTTGGTCATGCGAAACCTCCACGAAACATCCACGCCTCGCGCGAGGTAACTTTATCCCGATTCTAAAAATAACTCGAGACGAATTACCTATGGAATAGGGTGTATATGGGGGATGCCCTCTCTGTCCCCTTTATAGTCTCTTGTTTTAAACACATTTAAAATATCTTTTAAAAAAACTGTATTTTATTTAAATTAAAATGATATAAAATATTTTAAAAACAATCTTAGAGCGCATTAAAAGCCCGTAAGATTGATTTGCCGTCCCCCATGACCCACTCCGGCAGAGAGTTTTATTCAGACACGTACAATACTTCGAAAAATAACGTTTATAACAGTTGCTGAGAATTGTGATTACTCGAGCTCCATGTTCGTCAGTGCTATGCTATGATTCAAAGAAATCCTAGACTCTGGTGTTGATTTGAAAATAAGACAAATTTATAGCACTAAATCCGTGTAAAATAAAATCTTCATTTGTCCAATGGTGAGCTTAAATTTTGCGGTAACTACCCTGCGACTGACAAGAGGTATCTCTCTTGCATGGCTTTTAGCGTTTACTAAGTCGATTACGAAGTCGTTCGCCGGGCTAGTCTGTCGCGTAGTTGGCTTTTTACGCTAAAAGCCGTGGAGGAGAGAAAACTCTGTTCGCAGGGTAGCGGTAACTGGAGGTTCCAAGGACGCTCCATTCGATAATTCGCCCCATGATGCGTTTCAGACCGTGTCCAACCTCTGTTTCAACTCAAATCTTGAACATTACAAGAATGTCACGCATGACGAAACATGTCAGCAAAGCTGGTAAAGTTGACCCGGGTCATAGGGTAACCCTACCTGTGAAATTTGCTTGGAAACCGGAGATAACTTTAGCCCGCACTGGACGGCATACTCTAGGCTCGATTTCAAGTCAGTTATTGAAATTAGCATCTATCTGAAAAATTAAGCGTGTAGCGTAACGTGAATCTGAGTTGTCTTCATTTAAATAATTAGGCGATCACGCTTCCCGTGAGCTTGTATTCATCCTCGGAGACCCAGGGGCAGTCACTCGGGTCGGGAAAAAAGGCGGGACGAAAGTTTTTATTACGGGCGAAAGAGCCCCTGGGTACCGACTCTCACCGAACTATTTCCAAAAATTCGAGCGGATGCCGGCTCCTGATTGGGCACAAAAAATGCTTTGTATTATTGTGCCCAATCGGCGAACAGTTTCTCCTGAGTTCTTTTCGTGAGTTTGTACACGACGGCTATTGTCTCGCCACATTTGCCCGGTTCGTTCACCAATGCAAGCTTGTGCGTACAAGGGAAACTTTTATTTTCTACTTTCCTAACCAGAAACAAAGGAACTACCGATGAGTTGAATAAACGTTTGGGTTACTATCAGCAAGAGCAATTGAATTTGCCCCGAGAATATTCTGTTTTTGACGGATCACAATTAAGAGGCAGCGGCGATGAGAAATTCAAATGAGTAACAGCTTGACAAGGCACAACAACAACTTTGCACGTGCATCACGCTTTTTTGTACATTTCTTTGCTGTCAACTGCACGACTACTTGTGAAAATGCCAAATTTCACGTTTTGTGAAGGACGTAAACAAGCAATAACAAAATTCATTCTCTCTTCATGAACTTTGATATGGTTCAGAAGAGTTCGCTTGCATTTGTCAAAGTAAGCGAGTTGGATCAGATGGGGATTTTATATCAAACTGAAAGTTTCCTGACTGCGTGCATTTATCGAGACAATAGCCGTCATGTAAGAACACACGAAGAGAACTTATTGAGATGTGTTCGCCGATTGGGCACAATAATACAAAGCATTTTTTGTGCCCAATCAGGAGCCGGCATCCGCTTGAATTTTTGGAAATGGTCCGTTGAGAGTCGGTACCCAGGGGCTCTTTCGCCCGTAATAAAAACTTTCGTCCCGCCTTTTCTCCCGACCCGACTGACTGCCCCTGGGTCTCCGAGGATGGCTTGTATTCAGGCTAAAAAAATGGTGGCAGGAAAAGCGAAGCTTCTTCTTCTAGTATTTTCGATCGCTATGTTAGTTTTGTACATTCTCTATCAATCTAGGCAAGCAGAAAAACTTTCAACAACTAAAGTACTTCAGAAGTATAGAAACGTGACATCCCTCATGTTAACAAAAGCTCAACAAAGGACTCTGTTATTGTTGGTGTATAATGAATTCTTCGGCAACAAGAAGTGGATTAATGTTGATGATGATTGTTCTGTGCCAAGAACAAGGAAAACTCCTTGCAGAAAAGACAAGTTTGAGGTCACCTACGATAAAGGACGATTTTATGACAGCGACTTCGTCTTGATTCACGCCGCTAGTAACTTGCCTAGCATGGAGCACTTAAATGAGATCTGGAAGCAAAAACCCTTTGGGCAATTGTGGATTTATTTTCTAATGGAGAGTCCGATAACTTCCCCCGATACATCGCGTTTTAAAGGCATGTTCGACTTGACCTTTTCTTATCGGACAGATTCCGAGTTTTGGTTTCCTTATGGAACTTACGAGGAAATTCCATTCATCATCAACCTCTCGCAACATGATTTTTCCATCGGCAAGGACAAACTGGTTATATGGCCCGTAAGCAACTGTAGGCCACCGATTAGAAAGTTGCTCGTTCATGAATTGCAGAAATACATCACAGTTGATGTGTATGGACGCTGCTCGGAACAGTTTGGTGAAGCGAGGGACTGCCCACGCCACACCGAATCTTGCAGAATTGTTACCAGGCATTACAAGTTTTTACTAGCTTTTGAAAATGCCCTGTGTGAAGATTACATCACTGAAAAGTATTGGGAACACTTAGGTATGCTGTTTTGGTGTGTATTGAATTAGAATTTTTGTAATTTCGGTACAGTGCAGCGGTTATATTGATCGTGAAAATCAAATTCAGTCGACGTCAGCGGCAGATTGGCTCTTGACGGAAAAGTGTTCTCCTGAACACTGCTCGTATTTTTTACCTCTAATCATAGTTAGTCCCCTCTACTTACGTTCTAATTCGCTTCGCTCAAACGAACGTAAATTATTTACCGCTTAAATAACCGCAAACACCAGGCGAAATCAGCTATGGGTGGATCGCGTGCGAACCCTAACAAGCGAGCATTAAGCTCAAACTGCTTTTGGTTGCCTTTAAACTTCATTTGAGTCACTTGCTTATCCAGCTTAGATTTCGACTCGAGCTGCTTAGTCTTTTTGTCTAGCTTAGACTCTAAGTATGTTTTGAACATTGAAAAGACTTCGTTGACCATCGGCGATTCATCTTGGTCCAAAGACCTAGGAGTGCCCATGTTTTCCTCGGCCGCGTCTCCGGGAGTAGGCATAATTGACGAGATTTAAAATGTCCGAAGCAGAAAAACAGCTCTAAAGTGCTAAGGTCGCGAGCGAGAGAGAGAGAACAAACTGAAAACAGCAACAACAATAACAGTAACAGTGGAAAATATATTAACTATGCTCTAATATACCGACAAATCTATGCATGGCTTTGTTAAATTTCTCATTGTGTTGCTTCGTTCTCCATCGTTATGCTTTTGTTCAGTATTGTAATGTGAACACAATACAATACAATGCTATCCATAAATTTGTCCGGAGTATTGGACATGCATAGCGATCGATCTACTTAAGTTTTCGGCTTGAACAAAGAGACCAGCTCAACTTTTGAAAACAGTGAGAGTTAAGTTTAGTTAATTTAGTTTAATGATATTTAGAAATTACATACATACAAAACAACAGCAAGCTGATGGGAGATGAAAACAAAGCAGAAGCCCCAAAAGACTTTCAACTGGCATACAATGGCAAAACTATATGAAAAAAATACTAAAATTGGACGCAAAAAATGTATATTAAGGAAGAAAGGGTGTGCGCCGTAAGAATGTTCTACAGAATGGTGAACGATAGGAACTTAGCCTGGTCTTATAGTGAGCAACACCGTTTTCCACTGGTTTTAATTAGTTTTTCGTAGTTGCTCATCAAGCTACATTTATAACGGGTTTGCGTAGAATGCGAGTCGAGTGGAGTTGCGAGTTGCGAATGAGGCAGTTGCGAATAATGGAAAATTGACGAGCTCAGTAAAGAAATTCGAAGGGATATCTTTTTATATCTTGTGACTAAAGCGCTGTCACGTGCTTGGTCCGACTAGCTAAAAATTTCAAAAACAGGAGCCTCCCTAGTCACAAGATGTACCTTTTACGAATCAACAAATTTTCAAAGCGGATTTAACTATATGACTCTATATTGACAGAAAATACAGACCGCAGGTCTTCAACTTTCCATTACTCGCAACTCGCAACTAGCAACTGCACAACTCGCAAAATAACCAGTCCCATTTAGAACTAGCCAAGTTTTTTCGGTCAAAAGTGCTAAATTTTCGTTCAACGTTTTTATTTTTCATACGACAGGGGATGAAGATGTTGTACCAGTAGTCATGGGAGGTGCGAATTACACCAAACTTGCAATTCCTGGTTCCTACATCAACGTGCTGGATTTCAAAACTGTGAAAGATCTTGCAGATTATCTTCACTACCTCGACAGGAACAGCACCGCTTATAATGAGTACTTCAAATGGCGGCAAAAGTATCGCAAAATCACGTTGCAGACGTTCTGCTCTTTCTGCGAA